GAGTTTCTGCAGTGGCAGTGTAGGCACTGTACTCTTATTAAGTGCTCGTTCAAAACAGCTGTATGTTCTATATAAAACATGTTTACATAGTAAATGTACTTCCTGTAGACACAAAGAAATGTTAATGAATAACCATTCCTGCATTTCAAATTTTGCAGGGCTGTGGGAAGGATCAGTGCATGACAAAATAGTTAATGTTCACCCACTTTCTGGCACATGAAATCCGTTACTACAACTAATCCCTTACAGAGAAAAGAAAACATGGAAAACAAACTGGCGCTGGCTGGTTCTACTATGCCTTTTTTTTTTTTGTAGAGAAACTGTGAGATGCATATACATGGGAGAGGAACAGAGAAGTTTCAGTGGAGAATGCCGGAAGACGTGGACTCCTTCCGGCAGGCAAGGCTGTTGGCTTTAATTGTATATATTGTCTTGGATTCTCACCTTCAGAAAAAATGCCAGTTTGATCTCACACAGTATTCACTACCCATATTTACATCCTGTTGCCCGGGGTCCAGGGAAGACAAACAACCGGCATTGTCCTTTCAATTTCTAATCTGAAAATCTATATGGCTTAAAAGACTTCTTAAATGATAGATCTCCATTTATCCTTGAAAATTTTTGAAAAGCAAAAATTAGGTGTTCTAACCTATAGCACTGCCCAAAAAAAAGCCTCAAAAAGAAAACTCACTTTTAGGTGAAGGTCTTCCTCAAACGCAAAAACATTAAAGAATAAGAATTTGGTTTGTAGCTCTGAAGTCCCATATGATCCCCACTTCCCTACAAAGTAAGCCACTAAATTAATTAGGCTTTGCTATACAGCAATTTAATCTGAACTACATAGTTCGCTCTTCCAGTCTGCTGAAAACGTACAAGATGCACAGATAGAAACCAACACTCGTCAAGGGAAATCCAAACAGCACAGAAAAGATCCTCAGCAAAGTAAAGGATCTGAACTGAAGAAATGGGACAGGAATAGTTTGCACCAGCAGGAATCTGCTCTGCATCTGCAGACTAATTTATAAAGAGAAGTTGATACATCATACATGGACCAGATGCACTCATGTACTGTAAAGCAAAAACAAACTCTTCTGGGGATGTTCCAACATTTCTACACAAGATTTCACAGTGTACAAAAATCAATTCATGTGAATGAAAATCTTTTTTAGCTGCAATCTCTCTGCATGGTTTGAAAGTGCTACTGTGAACAAGGTTTTCAAAGGCCACCCAACAAGCAATGCTCAGCTAGATCTTCTTTGCAGGGTGGCACATGAATAGCACATTTCAGTTTCAACAGATTGAAAAAGCATTACCACAGCAATAAGACTGAGACCTTAGTGCAATTTTCTCAATAAACACATTTCTTGACAATTATTCTTGTGCAAAAGTTACATACTACTTTTGAGATAAGATTTTTTTTTGTGTGATATCACAGCAATTAATAAGGGACAATCTGGATACTTATGTTTTGTAAAACATCAATTTGTTCGAATAAAAAACTTTTTAAATTGAAAGAACTCATTCTCTTAAACTGAGTAAGGAGAGGGGGAGCTGATGAGCCTCTGGCAAATTCAAAAAGTCCTCAGCAAGTAGTGTGGTAAATGTGATGAACCTTGACCTAATTATTAAAATGTTTGCAAAACTTCTTTATTTCAGAGATGTTCAATTTCTCCAAAAGTGATCTGAAACAAATGAGAAGAGAAAAAAGTTTCATGAGAAGACACAATTAAAGACACATATTAAAAAAGCTGATGAAATCAAAAGAAAACTTCATTTCTTTATACACTTCCTAAGAAAAGAGATAAGAAAGCCAATGTCAGGCTGGAGTACTATTTTGAATTACCAAACACTGCCACCACGTGTTCACCTCAAAGGCCATCAGGCTGCTTTAAAACAGCTAGATGGGAATTATTAAAAGATAAAGTAAATCAAATTTTTTGCTCTATTTCTTACGTAAACATTTCTATTTTATGCAATAGTGATGACAACCCCAACAAGGATTTAATTACTTTTAGCCAGTGGTGTCACATTTGTATAAGAACACATGGTTCTGTTTCTAGCCCCTCCTATCATCATTGTGGAGAGCACCAATTAGAGAATGACAGAAAGAACATAAAGGACAAGCTTTGTTTCCACACACAGATGCCTACCATAATACATGTTTCACTGTATTTGTGCAGTGCCTGCCTTGGTAAACTTCTAGTTGATCTTGATGCTTCCTAGAAGGTACCAAAAATCATAATGTTCACACAACTACAACGTAATTATTTCAAAGATTGCCTTTTCTTCAAATATTTATGCATATTGAATAAAACCGTTCACATAATGATGGAGACAATGGATTCAGAGAACTTCCTACAACATTAATTTTCACTAGTTCTATTATATGCAACAAAGGATTTCTACCTTTACTTGAAAACTATATCCATGCCAGAAAACTATATCCATGCCAGAAATCTATATCCATGCCAATTTGAATTAAGAGCATTCTATTTGTTACTATTTAATAAAATCTCCCACCTGAAAACTCTCCTTGAGATAGAAGGCAGACAGAGGAACTACGTCTCATTACTGAAAAGCTAAAATGATTAGAGATGCTCCTCTTCTTTAGATGGGACATTCAAGAACATGCAAAGGAATTCCAATGAATTCCAATAGCCAAGAAGATGAATACCTGATTTCCTTCCACATTTTCCAAATTTCTGTTATAAATTCTTTGAGTTGGGATGCCTAACATTAGCTTTTAAGACCAGGAAGTATTAGAAAAAAATTCTCAATTATTTTTAACTAATACACACATACACACACACATACTGAACTCAGAAGAACTGACAGGAATCATCACTCCCTCATCAGCATTATCCAGCAAAGCAAAATATTTCAACAACTTTCCTCAGGGGATGCTGGAGATTCCTCAGGGGATGCTGGAGATTCCACGTCTATGTCTGTATAGATTCACTGAGTGAATACCTCAAGGAAAACACAGACCTCAGGGAGCAAGGCCGACAATAAAAGCAGATCCAAGTAATACTTGGATGAAGTGCCAGACTTGCAAGAAAACATTCTTTGGTACAATTCTAGATATTTGAAATTTCCAGAATTTTGAAAAAAGACTGAACAACTACTTGAATGCCTAATGGATGACTATGCAGTTTTGGACAGCTCAGATCCTGAATTAATTTCCTTTAGGACAACAAAATCAGAACACTTGCATTTAAATGTGATGTGTTTTGTCAGCGTTACTCATGCATGACACTGGATATCTCAGGTTATTCCAAGCTAGTTTTGCTCTCAGCAATAGTCTCTGAGTGTTCAGAGTTAAGACTCTTTCTAATAACTTAAAAGTGACTCCAAAGAGACGGCAAAGATGAGTAACTGAAGTGGAAAAGTAAGTAACTGATAAAGGACAAACCCAATGACCTCTACCATATCTCTTGCCATTTGTTCTTCAATGTGCATTGTAGGATATACACTTATTCTACAGCTGTATTCCACAAGTCTTTTAACAGCAGGAAGAATCCATAAACCCTACTGGCAAATGACAACATTAAGTCAGAATAAATAAGTGGATTGTCCCAGCCTGGTCAAGATTTGCTTAACAATAGATGGCAGCAGTGTTCCCATAAGAGAGCTTCAGAGGTAGGAAAACAAACTGGAAAAGCATCTTTGACAAACTTGCCAGAAGTCCATCATGTTTCTTACCGCGGACTTGGAGCAGCAAATCACATCTATGGCACTAATTACAAAAGAAGAAACTGTCAATGTGCTCTACCTTAGGTAAAAGTATATGAAGAGAACAGCACGCAAGATCATTTTCATGAAGTTTAAATATAGGAACAAAAGGAGAGCTTCTGCTGTTGAAAATATACATCTATAGTCTATAAGGGTGCTTTTCAGTACATGAACACACTTCCAAAAGGAGAAAGAATGTCAGCCATTTATGTACTTCTAAAACATGACTGTGTTTTAGTTTCTTGATCTCTTTCATACAGTCAATATGTAAATCTTAAATAACTTTTGCCTTACAATACTTACTACCATCAAAGCAAGTGTCATCATAAATGTCACTACCGAGTCACACCTAGCTGAAGTTAACATATCTGAGCAAAGTCAAAGTGTATAAGCCTCCAAAAATATCATTAACATTTGCCAACTGAGGTTTTAAAAAAAGCTGAAATTTTAGACTGTGGCTCATACACTGCATTTCATTCATTATTCTCTATTCTTTATCTTTTTTTATCTAGTTCAAACTTCTTCGCACCCTTTAGATTTCATAGCTATAAAAAAAGTGACATAGCTAAATTTCAAACACACACAATATATTTCAAGAGTAACATAAAGGAAGCAATATGATCATAGTGTATATCAATCCCCCACACTAAATAAACCAAATTCTTACTGTGATTTCCAGTCAAGAAACATTGCAAAGAAGCTTATTAAAAAGTAACTTGAATCTCTAATCTTTTGTAGAGAGAAATATTCTCCAGACAGTACTCCCTGGTTTTACTCTCCATAGGAGAAAGCAAATGGATAGACACCGGTGGTCTTCTGTGAATCTATTCTTTGAAATTCTATTCTTTGGTGATGAAAAAGGGGGAGAATTTATTTAAAAAAAACAAATTATTCAAATGAATGTTGTGTGCAACAAGAGGATAACTTTCTGAACCACAATGAATACGTGTCTGTGAGCATGTGCATGTGAGTGTTCATCCACTGACTAACTAAATACGTATTGGGAATGAGCAGGTGAAATTAAATAAAATAAACACGTTGTGCAAAAGTTATTCCACCTTGTATCCTTTAAATCACGGTATATCAACAACTGGTTATTGTGTTATCAGCTCTATCTCAATGCAAGATCTGACACTGTTTAGAACTAATACCAACAATCACAGGTGCCAACGAGTGCTATTCTATGCTCATCGTTTCCTAACCTGTTGAACACAGTGTCTGACATAAATTCCAGTGTATTGCAAAGTAAAAAATTACTTTTTGAATTCAAAAATCTCTGACCTTTTATTCACACTCTTTATTTAGCTATTTTTCAATACAATAGAAAACTACAAAAAAAAGCCCCAATGTACAAAACATAAAGTATACTTACAGTAGAACTTGCATCATCCTGATTTAGTTCACAGTAAATCTTTTTAAGTGCATTCAGTAAACAATTCATTCTATGAAAGCTTGATCATTCATCTCCAGTCTCAACAGCTACTTTCTAATAAAAAGACTATATTTTGCATCCAAACCTTGACAATGTCTGATGAAGTTTGTCTTTGAATTAGACTTGATATGAGGACTCCAGAACTGTTTAGATATTACAATGTCCAAACAATCTTAAGCCCATTTAATTCATGTAGCCAGATGCATTAACATTAGCTTTCTGTCACTGATTTTTCTTATTTTTATCAAAGCCTTGTTTGTAAGTTCCATGGTTTCATCCCACTTGTTTTTCTCAGGGCTTGTGTATGTCACCAAGTTTTCAGTGTACTGCAAGACTAACTTCAAAAACCTATAAGAAATAACACCAAAGAAGAAAAGTTCTTTAAAAGATTTAAAAAGAAAAAGGAAAAAAAAATCTCAATGCCTGATTTAAAGTTGCTAACGTCTTCAAATATCCAAATCTCCCTCAAGATGATCAATACGTTGAGGTTAGTTCTACTTCTGGAAAAGAACCACTCCCTCACTCTCACAGTAGGATGCAAAGATTTTCAGAACTGCAATTAACACTTCCATAGAAAGAATAGAGTGACAAAATGCGTGATAGAATTTTCCCCAAATGGCTTCCTTTCTTTTCTCAGTCAAATGTTTCACAATGTATATGATACCCAACCAGCTATTAATTGACACACAAAGAGTAAAATCACCAACATCTTAAATACAGCATTTATGTATTCTTATTTGAGTGTATGATTGTTTCCTATCTATACTAAGGGGGAGTCTAATAAAAATTAAAAATGTGAATAACTGGACCATATATTTTCAGTTGAGTTATTTTAGTTCTTGAGTGAACATTGTCTGAGGTATAATTATGACTAATGATAGAAAATCTCTACAGGATTTGTATTACAGATCAGAAAGGAATATGTACAATTCCTATTTTCATAAAGTAAGTTTAGATACTCACTTTAGATACTGCTGATAATCAAAAGGATTCTTCTTACAAATGGCATGAACACTGACTACTTCCACAGTAATCAATATTAAGATGAGTCGCAACACTGGAGACAAAAATTTAATGCTAGAAATAAAAAAAAAACACTAAAATAAACAAACTAAAGCCAAATTAAAAAAAAAAAAATCACTAACATAGAAGAATTTGTCAGACTTCTGCACTAATCCTAAATAGCTGGATATTGCAGAGTGGGGGAAAAAAAAAAGGACTATGAAATGTACTTCAGCAAAAAGCAGTGCAAATCCCAGAACAAGAAATGAAGAATATAAATGATGAAACCCCTGAAAGAGGAAAAAAAATGAAATTCATATAGTTAAGATTCCAAAGAAAAACTCATGGGCACCCATTATTCCACAGATAATGAAGCAGATTTCAACTGATTTGCAAAATGTATCATTGGTTTCTTAAATAATATGGTTAACATTTTTAGGAACATAACCTGGCCAATAATACAAAATCTACAGTTTTCCCAGTTTTTAAAGTAGATTCATAAAACCCAGGAAAGCACTTATGAATAGGAACAAAACTTAATGAAATATTAAACAATCTACATATAGATGTATCTATATAATAAAGATGCTTATTCAGGTATAATTATAAAAAGCAGCAAACTAAAGTAGATAAAGTCTTCAAATCAGTTAAACCTATTGCATTCAGATAAATCTTGAATGGTATTTATATGTTTAATAAACAGGAAAAGGTAGCATGTACAAAAATACAATCTAACACTTAAATGATACTTAATTTGAAAGCTTGTAATTTACAGTGAAGTAATCTAGCAATGCTAAAAAATACCCACTAAATTATTCTCCAGTTTGAGATTTTCTTTTTAGTTCAACGTTGCTGCTTAACAGAAATCTAGTTTGACACTTAACTCTGAAATGGTTAATGAAAACATGTGAACACTGTTGACTTTAACCTTTTAAGACAAACCACTGAAAGCCAGCAACAGTAGAGTGCAGCCACTCTCTCTCAGTCTAACCACAAAGTAAAGGAAAACCATCAGCCAACCTGTTCAACATCCGTAGATAGTTATGCCTCTGACGAGAACGTAGAGTCTTGTTCACCCACTGTGTGTATCTCATCTCAGCGCTGGCAATAACTTGTTCGGACACTTGATGGCACTGCGTGCTTATTTTGCGGAGTATCACTACTATTTCCAGAACCGGTCGCGGAGAATAAAGCGTGCAAATACGCGTATCACAAAGTTCAGTCAACAGCCTCCAAAACAGAAAGGGATTTTTAATGTCAATCTTTTGTTAGCTGGATTTAACATGAGATACATTTCATATTCAGTGTTGTTTGACTCGTAATATTTTAACTCAGAACACCTGGAAACAAACTGCCCTTCCCTCATGACTGAAAAAAAGCAAGGATCTGTGTAGCAGGGGTAGTGATTGTGTTCTTTATCACTTTACTGAATATAAATGCAAAACTGCTGGTGATGAATATGTTTCCCATTTCAGATCAAAGAAACGAACCCACAATAAATGAAACTGCCTGCCTGAAATGATATACTGAACACATCAAATCACAGCAGGGTTGTGGTTGAAGCCTCCCACCATAGTTCAACTCATAATGAATTAACATTCACCATAATAAAACTCACTGAAACAAATGGTATTAATTAGTACTTCCATTAGTGTGTGGTCCTTCTTCTGGGCAAAACAAGCAGCAGACTTAACATTTTGTAAAATGCAGGTGGTGAGACGATTTTTTTAATCAACACCACACAGATCATGCTTTGTTAAATCACACAAATACGTTCCTGCTGTCCTATTCTAATTTACTACCCTGATGTGTCACACGTCACTTTAAACACTGTTTTTACAGAAGTGTTTCCTAATCTCCCTTATGCTCAAATCACCTCTGAAACAGCAACACATCAATGACCAAAACTGATAGAGGCAGAAAACTCCAAAAGTTTATGACTTTAGTAATTGGGCTTCTTTTTCATAAATGAGAAAATTGAAGATTGGTGGGTGGGGAAAAGCAGGCTTACACATTGTGTAAGTAAAGCAACAGGTAAAATCCTCTTTGCACTATCCTGCTCATGCCTAACGGGTTTGATTAGGAGTGTTTTGTTCCAACATACTCATGCAGTCATGGGACTCTTAAGGCTCCCTTAAGAGTGGAAATCAAAAGTCAAATTGTTTTGAACATTATTCCAAGTAGACATAATTGGAACTAACTAACTAACTAACTAACTAACTAACTAACTCCAAGTCTGACACCATGTATTACAAGATATCTTCTGTTTCTGAAACTTGATATTAAAGCATGTAAAAACATAATTATTTAGTAGTGTATTACCATTTTGAATGCCACATACAGTTGTGACATCAAATACATTAAAACGAATTTCTGATGCAATTTTTGCACACAAACCAGATTAAAACCAACCTAATCTAGTCAGTACATAAGCATTTAAATTATTTTGCTTTCCCAGCCTGAAAGAAAAATAGTTATTTTTTCATATTAATTTCCAAGTAAAATCTCTACTGTAATTCCCAAATCTACAATGTCCCATCTTAATTTTGAAGATGATGCTCAGCTGTGATTCTAAGATTTTCAGATTAAATCAGCAGCAACAATAGAAAAGTGCATACAACATTTCAAGCATTGCTCTGAAAACAGGGAAGTGAGTAACTTAGGTTTGAGACTTCTTATGTATGTAGAAGCTGAGAGCAGGAACCAGGAGGACATCAAACTCACCTCTCTGTTAGGACACTATTGATTGGATCATCTGAACTACAGCAATTCTGGGGCATACATTGCACCAACTGAGATGTAATTTCAGATATCATCAAAATTAAAGTACTAACTTCAGCATTTTCTTCCAAACTTAAAAAAAGAAAACAATTAACATTTGAGATGATAAAACAGTGTAGTACTTATTATTTCTCAAATAGTATAGATCAAGATGTAGGGTTTTTTTATAGCAAAGTATTCAATTCTCACTCTCTGATATTACGGTTCTTTTCCCTCCATTTTATAAGCATGATTTTATTTCTCCAATTAAATACTACCTTTTCTCAGTCTCGGCAATCTTCAGAACCTCTCTTAATCCTCCCTTCATCAAAATCCTGCAGTATACTGAATATGTGATAGATGCATTGTATTTTCATTTCTCAGCTCTAAACAAGTACAATTTCCTCCAGTGATATTATTAATGACTTCCTCCTTTTCAAATAACAAGAGAATGTTACACTCTTTTTCTAACTAATATCTTATATAAAGTCTTCCACTATTTTGGTTACCAAGTCCTTTTCAAAATAAGGCATTATTTTCTGTTTTACATTTGGTGACCATTTCTTCAGAAACAGAATACGGAGCCACTAACACCTCTGTGTTTCAGGTATCTTCTCACTCCCTTCAAATTAGCACATTGTTTATAGTTTTTACAGTACTTGTACTGATGTGCACAGCACAGATTAAGCTAAAGAGAACAAAGGGGTCTTCTCACAGCCCCTCTGGCATCTATGATCTTTCTAGTAAAATGTTTGGAGAGACACTTCACCATCTCAAACCCCATTCTTCATAACTATTTTGAGAACTATCTTATATAGCATATATATATATACCTTTTAATTGTTTGAACTTGTTCCTCAGACACTGTTGGCAATCCAGACCATAACTGAATGCTCTTCATACATTCCAACACCTTAAAAACACATAACGAAAAATGTTTTGTAAAGTGTAGCCTTTGACAGACAGGCCAATGCATTTCACTCTGCTTAGTGCCAATTTTAGAAAAAAACTAAGTAGTTATAATTGTGTAAGCCAACTTCAATTGTTAAGGTCTATGTTAGGGCAAAAAGTCTTGATTACACTTCCATGCTAAAACATTATCTGAATAAACTAGTTTACTATTCTTTCTACATTTCTTTTAATGTAAAAAGTTAACTAACATGACTTCTATACAGTTTGAACACTGTGGAAAAGTAAAAGTACTAAGTATGTCTACTGTATACCCAAATCAAGAGAGGAACATCCTAAAGCAGGTCATTAAACTGATTGGTAGAGAACTACCATGACAATGGAAAGCAGCTTTTGCTACAACGACAGAATCTTAGTCAGCTAGTTTTCATACAATAAAAACCTTAGCAATAGCCTAATCCAGAATTCCTGGAGACATGACCAAGCAATGGTTCTGACATAAGAAAGCATAAGGAAATTAAAAAAACTACAGAACAGCAAACATTCAGGTAAGAATAAACCTATTCAGGGATCTAGAACACAAACACAGTATCAATTGCATCGATAGGAGTGTGCATAGTTATATCTCATTTTAGCAACTGTAATTTCCTTTAATTTTAAAAGATATAGCAAAAAACAACTAAAAAATATGTAAGATTTTAACTTTTTTTAGGACAAACAAAGCACAAAGAAAACAATTAGACTAATTTCAATGATTCACATTTTAAAGACCAAAATGCTTTCACAGATGTGGACACCTACCTGTTTCTTGAGACGGGAAATTGGATGAAATCGAGATTGGTAGCAACTTGCACAGTTTATCAGTGGTTTTATGACCGTGTGTTCCTGATTTACAAAATCACAGACAACACACAATAATCATACACAGACGTAGACTTATACCTCACTTTATGCAAGCCACCTATAGCACTGACATCAGTAAAGACTTCCAAATGCGTGAGGGCTGAAAGAAGTAATCAGCCCAGTGAGTGGTTAAAGCTTAATTTCATACATTTTACCTGTGAAACCTGACAGCAGCTGACAGAAAAGCTACCAAGTATTCTCATAGTGCAGCAGCAGGCAATACTTCTTGAGAAACTAAAAAGAGCTGCAACCAATGAATGAAAGATTTATCTCACAGGTTGCTGTATGGTATTGAAAGAAGTAATCCCAAATATAAACAGGAAACTGGGGAGAGCAAATATAATAATCACTAATGTTGACAAACATATTGCTAGACAAAAAGTGTTTACAAATTCACAGTATAAGTATGGATACAAACAACATTAGCAAGCCACCATTATTTACAATGTCTTGGAAAAAGAAAATCTCAATAACTACATACCTCAGTGGGTGAGCTACAGCAGTTGTGCATACCTTTTGGATAATTCAGCAGATAAATAGGCTAGGTATCAATACAATTTTACAAAATTAAGTGGAATCACTATAATTTATGAATTAACCACGTGAATAAGGACTGGTTAAGCCAACAAATTAAGGCACAGGAAGAAAGGGTAATCTTTTGGAAAACTTTCTGTACTTATTTCACTATAAAACTAGGCAAAAACATATTTTTCCAATTTTTTACTTGGATGAATACTTCATTTCCACAAAAAGCAGCTCTCAAGAAAGATTCAGTCAAGCTCTCTAAAAACATATTTGGTATCCAAAGAAACCAAAAAAAAAATCTTCTGAGAACATAATACTGATCCCTACCTTAAGAGAAAACATATTCTCATCTGAAAATCTGCAGAGAAGGGTAATTGCAAATGCAACTATCTGATTAGCTACTTCTCTGGGAAATGCTTCCAGATTGATTTCTCCATGGCTTAAACGATCTCTTACACGTGGACCCTCCTGGTGGTTCAAGAAATCCCAAAGAAATTCCTGTGGAAACATACATTAGGTGTATAGAATTCTATTCTATGTGTATGCACATAGAATTGAATATATTCAGTGTACAGAATATCCCTGACAGACAGGTATGTGATCATGTCTATAGGAAAGGGGCTTTCAGATATTCAGAAAAAAAACAATGCAAACTATACTCATAACAAAAAAAAAAGTGCAACTCATCCATCTTGGTAGCTTCTGAGGAAATTCAAAACTAATATACATGCTGAATTCTGAGAGCTAACAACAGACTTCTGTTGTGGGTTGACTCTAGCCAGATTCCAAACACCCAATAAATTGCTAAGAGCTAGGAGAGGTCACACAGGCAAGACAGATTCAACGTGAGGATAGCACTAAAATTTATTACTAACAGGATAGGAGCTAAAGAGTGAGAGATAAAATAGTTTTAAACACACTTTTCAACCACCCCTCCTTCCTTCCATATTCTCCCTCCTCCCTCTGCATCAGTGCAGTAAGAGAAGTCCACCTAAACCTATAAGGTAACAGGTCTTCCAAGTCTGCTGCACTTGTAGGTCACCCTTCTCCACTCACAGGGCAACAGGTCTTCCATATCTGCTACACTTGTGAGCTACCCTTAGATGGGCTGCAGAGGACAGCCTGCTCCACCAAGGTCTTTCTCCATGGGCTACAGGGGCTAAAGCTCTGAGTCATTCCCCTGTCCCGTGGGTCCCTCCCATGGGAAATAGTCTTTGGTGGACTTCACCCACATGGATCCACCTCTCCCTCTGGCCACAGGTCTTGGGATGCAGGGAGTCTCTATACCCTGATGGTTTTGTCATAGAATGCAGTCCTTGATGGAGAGTACTGTACTGGCGTGGGTTCTCCACAGGGGTCACTAGTCCTACCCAGAAGACACTGCTCCAGCGTGGGCTTCCCTCTCCACGGGCCACAGATCTTCCCAAGGACCCCACTCCCCCCTGGGCCTCCTACGAGGGTAGCAGTCCTCCATTTTCATGCATCCACTTGTTCCATCATGGGCTCAGCTGCAATGTAGCGGGGCCACCCTTGGCCTGTCCCAGCTCAGCCAGGGGTGGGGGGCAGTGCCCACTGGTGGGGTCAGCCTGGCCCGGCGCAGTTTCAGCGCCATGCCTGCCCCGGGGCAGCTGCTGTGTGACCCTGGGCCATGGCTGCCACCCCCACCCGCGGCGGGAGAGACAGTGGAGGCCGCCCCAGCCTGGCCTGGCTCGGCTCCAGCACCGTACCTGCCCTGGGCTGGGGCCACGGGACCTGGCCCCGGGCCCAGAGGCTTCCCTCTGCCACCCCCATGGCTCCAATTTCTTCTGTGCAACAACCTTTTTTCTTAAATATGTTATCACAGGCGCAACAATTGGCTCTCCCTTGGCCAAACAGCAGGAAGTCCTTCCTGTAGCCAGCTGTCATTGGCTCCATGGGGGGGGGGAAGAAACTCCTAGCTGCTTCTAACAGAAATCACCCCATCTAGCTCCCCCTGCTGAAAAAAATGAGCCACAGAAAACCACGACAACTTCCTTCAACTTTGTGCCCCAAGCCCTCCACAGCCCCACTGCCTCTGGCAACAGGACAGTAATCTCAGATCTCCCCTACACCCTCAAAAGATCTCTAAATTCAACACCCCTAGTTTTCCTGTTCACGATCTGTTTGGGTAGTAAAATGCAGAATGTGCTTTGCAGGTTTGAGCCACATTTTTGTGCCATCTGCCCAGATAGTTGAAGATGTGTCCCAGAAGCAATCAGAAATAAGTTTGAAATTTTCCTGTATGAGGCATCAGTTCTTCTTCTGCTCCATTCAGCTGAACTTCAGAAGTCTAAAGAAAACTATCTCCGAGACATCTATATTTCAGAAAGAAAGGTAGTCCTATATCCTAACCCAATATAGCTTGTGAGACACTACCTTGCATCCTTCCCACTGAAAAAGGCTAACAAGCTTCTGGTTCTAAGGTGCTGGATACAAGCTATATTTAATAAATAAATATTAGGCATGATCATAAAGACACTACTAAACTAAAAAACAAACAAATGAAAACAACAAGAAAAAAGAAAACAAACAAACAAACAAACAAAAAACACACAGAAAACTTTCAAAACACTTGCCATGGCAGGCTCTTCAAGAACTACAGGCAGTTGGTTGACTTCATTGTTATCCAAATGCTTTGCTAGCATCTAGAAGAAAAGTAATTTGAACAGAAACTTACTATATTACTGAAAGCCAAATAATCAAAGAAGAAACATCAACTAAAGTAATTAGTTTTTCTAATTTTATGCAATTCCTTCTGCCACTCTAGAATCAAGGTCCCTAATTACTACCAACAATTTGAGATAACTCAAACAACTTGTAAAATTGAGGATTTCTGCTTGTAATATTTATTTGTATTTATTTTGAATAACTGAGTCTAGGAAAAATGACAGAATATTTGTTTCTGTGGAGTGAAGAATTTCAAGACAAAAACATTTAGAAGAAAATATTCTGTTTATTACAATGTGTATTAATTTTGATATTTTCTGGAGGATTCAAAATTTAAAATGTTTACTGTCCATAATTTTTTATGTCGAAAAAAGCTAGAAATAATGTCTTATCCAACACAAGAAAGTGCACTCAGGACTCTAGTAATGGAAAACATGCAAGTGCTTAAATTCTGACGTTGATATATATTAAATTAAAAAAAAATAAATCACAGTACCTCATCGAAAGTCGTGTAGAAAGCAGAAGACTAGAACAAAAGACAATATTATTTGATTTTCAAACAAAATCAAATAACTAGACATGTATATCAAACTTTTATTTATTCATGTGCATGAGATACCAGAGGTGCATGAATAGCAAAAAAAAGCCCCCTTACAAATGAAGGGACTTTTGGATTTTGTGCTGAGTTTTTTTTACAATAAATATATCATGGCCTACTTTTCACTCTAAACTACTGTTTCTGAACACTAACCTTCAACTATTTTTTCAGTCCTTTTTACTGGCAGACATTTAAAAAAAATTAAAGGCATTCGTGAATCTCAACTGGAAATTTGTAAATAATTTTCCATAATTGACTGAAATTTTTTTTTGGTAAATCTGTAAATGTTTATAGACACTATTCTTCTAGAATAACTATTTTGCAAGTATTGTAAGCACTAAATCATAATTGACTTTAGACAGAAATTTTACCTCAGCTGTTAGCAAACGATTTGGACATTTATTAGTTGTAGTGAAGAGCAATCTAAGTCCAACTTCCAGCTGAGGAAGTAAGAGAATCACACTGTCAGCATACCTGAAAAATTAACAGAGATATCCAGGTTTTTCTCCATTCAGCCATTTCAGACTTAAAGTCTCAGGCCAAATGACCTGGACCAAAATTCCCTTGTAATGCACTTTGTAAACAAACAATAAATGACTACCTGTGCCAAACATAAACTGATCACTGAATACAAGCTCAGAGGTTAGAATAACTTACTGAAATGTAAAGCATGGGAGAGAAAAACAAAACAATACACTTTTTTTAAAAAATTCAAAATCTTAATATGCAAAGATTTATTTCCCTTGCTTTGTAAATCTCTCCTTTGTTGCTACATCTCCAACAGTTCTCTTTAGGGTTCAAAAATAGTTTATAACCTTATTTGGCACAAAACAAAGTCATAAGTTGAGAAACAATGCCTAACGATATGTTGGCATAAGTTAAGTAACAGACTTAGTAAAAAGCTTTGGAATCTGTGAATGCAGATTATAAATATAGAATATATTATTCTATATAGAATAAATTCTATTAAAAAATAATGTAAAAAATTTGACTTACCTGTTTTGCTTGAAAGCTGTTAAAGCAGCGATCCAAAATGGTAACATTGTTTTTAATACAAAACTGGACAGTTTTACAAGCTCTTCAGCTATGGAAAGTGTTTCATTATTAAGATCTACAAGTTAACAAAAATAACATTGAAAAACTACATATAATCTCCAGTTTACTAATGCATTCTTAATATTTCACTGAAAATATAATATTATTTCAACATTTGTAAAGGGAGATTTAAAGTTATCCAATTTATTTTAATTATGCAGGTACAACAGTAGCCATATTTAGGAAAAGAATTTGAGTATGTAAGATTGCATTTGTGGTGATAGTATAAAATTACATAGTAAAAACAGTTAAAAAGTCATGTTTGCTTTTTATTGAGATTAAAACACTACACAGCAACTGGACCTAGATTCTGTGGAGTTGTTTTCCACCTACTTCAAATACTTTTAAAAAGTGTAATATAAATTAATCATTTCTATTCACTCAAAATCAGTACAGTAGTATGAATATTTGAACATGAGCACATTGTTTCTACTTTATCAATTAAAGTAGCATAGTAAATTAACACTTCATACTTCAATGCTACCATGTAATGAAACTCATATATATGCATTCACATTATAAATGTCTTATCCAAAAGAAAGATTAAAATGGTAAGCAGGACTTGATTGCACTTGGTGTTTTTTCAAAGCAAATCAACAGTTATAGCATTTATACTACAATATTATCGGGATGTTATCAGCTTGATTTGGTTCCCAAAAGCCCTGTCTCAGTTCCATGGACAGATGTTCCACTGGCAAACTGATTATATAGCACAAATCGACCATGACGACCACTGACACCAAGATCTCCCATATGCTGTTGTTGCCTTAAAAATAGTAGGAATAAACAAAATAAGGTCTGAAGACAGGGAGATGAGACAGTTTTAATCTGACTTCAAGTGCTTCCCTGAGAAAAGCATTAGTATACTGAAGATGTGTCATCATCCTTTACTGCGTTTCAGCACTATCTTCCCTGTAAGACTCAGGGCACTCCTGCTGGGACCCTTGCAGCTGGAACCCATTGTTTCTGGAAGAAGTTAGATTTGTAAAGGCAAACTAGATGACCGTTAGATGAAATGAACTCTCATAATCAAAAAATGGAATATACAGTTGAAGTCTTTTAGAAGCAGTCATGTTTCATGTTTCAACGTATTACAATTATTTTAGAACACAGTATTTTTTGATTAAATAGTCAGTGCAACTGCCTACATATTAAAAAGCTGTCCTACAATCATGACTGATTCATCTAATGACAGTATATACACGTATCTTAGTTAAGATTTAATCTTGGAACTCTAGGAGATGCATTATTTTCAACAGCGCTTTTGGACAATCAAACAATAGCAAATATAAGATAATAAAAAAATTGTTAATATTTAAATACTTGCCTGGAAATACATCAAGCTCCTCTAAGCTAACGAAGATCACATAAGGTCGATGTAGTAAAATCCATTTATTTTGTAGAAGATAAGTCTGCAACAACTGACCCAACCCTATAGTTAAAAAAAGCAGCATAGCACAATATCTAGGGAGAATAACATAATATATTAGAAAAGCTTATACAAAGAAATCTTCTGTAAAGACCAACATTTCTGAGTTAGGGATAAAGGGTTTTTTTCACTCTTTCAAAGAACACCCAAAACCTACACTCCCCACGTGAGCAGGGGCACTTAATAACTAATTACGTTCACAAGCATGAAAAAAATTAAAGACCAGAATCGGGAAAAAAGCATCACTGTATTCTCTACTGGTTGCTGTTGCTCCTCCTTCTACCCCATTCCTGTGCCTTTTGTTCCAAGTTATTCCTCACTGCCCTGACAGAATTTCAAAAAAAAGTTAAGCTTTCTTACTTAACAGTACAAAAAACACTGGTTCTATTAATGGCTGAAGTATTCTACAGAAATCCATTTCCAGAGAAGAAACAGCAGCAGGGGAAATCTGTCAGGATGCTGACAGAGGCCTTTGGACAATTTATTTTCTTTTCCCCATGAGAGAAGTAAGTTTTACTATTCACTTTTCAAGAACTCGCAAGTCTGACTAGTAAGAAAATGACATTTTTTTTTGGTAACTTACTTGGCAGGAATTTCTTGTGGGGATGCAAATCCATGCCACAAAACATTATGAAGATTCAGGCCATATGGAGATCCAATGAATATCCTCAGTACATTCATCTAATTAATAAACAAAGTAATTACTGCATGAAGAAATCTATTATTTATTAACTTTCTTAATTTATTATCTTTCCCTAACAGAAAACTTCAGAAGTTATTGAGAAACTATAATATGTACTGTCAACATGACTGGCCACAGCTTGTCACAGTGACAGAAACTCACTATTTGCAATTCCTAGCATTCTCTGAAAGGAAATTGTTCAGCTTATTTGTACAGGCTATAGAATATAATATGGGACAAACAAAACTAGTTATTGGACATTCCAAGCAGTTATGACAGGTAAAAAAATGAGATAAAGAATAGCTCTTACTTCTTGTAGTATAAGTCCACATAATTTAATGCAAATTAGCATAAAATATAGAATTTGCATTCAAAGTTGTATTCCCAGATCACTATCAAACAAAATGGGAAACTTTGGTTTATTTTTCAATTGTAAGAATTTAAGTATTCCATATGCCATCAAAATTCAAGAAATAGTTTTTATTACACTACTAGACTGGCTAACAACACAGGTTTCCGCAGTTCACACCCAATATTTTGTTCTAACAAAGAATGTGCTCTTGTAAGACTGCACGTGGAAGATCCACCTACTCTGTTACAAAAGAGTGCAAATATCATCAAATTTTTGTGGATTTTTTTTGTTTTTTTGCAAATTAGTTTCCTCTATTTTGAAAAATTCTGATATGGTAAATGTTATAAAGCATGTTACTACATTGGTGGTCAAGAGGAACACAGCTTATCAGAAACAGCCAGTGCATGTTGTGTATTTTCAAACAGTGCAACTCAGAATGAGGCAGATGAACTCTGCTCATTGCCTGCCAGATATGTGAAATTTTACATATGTAGGTTTTTCATACAGAAAGGGAAATAAGAACTTATGATCTTGCCTTTAAAACTATTTCTTTTACAATATTATCTTTTTCTTTAAATCATATACCCCCCAGATAGTAACATGCATAAAATGAAAATAAATCTACCATATAGAGAATTTGCAACCTCTTCTTCAGTACAAGTAAAGGCTACACTTGGACACCCGCCATTTGGCCAGAAGAAAACCAGCTCAACATTTATTACTTATTTCAAAAGTATGCACTTACTACAGCTTGTCCAAAGACAACTGCTAGCTGCTCAGATGCAAGCAAGTCTCTTAGAAGGAAAGGGCAATCGTTACCCTTAAGTAAATATACCTATTAAAAAAAAAAAGCAAAACAGATAACATAAATAATTTAGTGTACTTCTTTGTATTTCAAACATATAACTTGACTATTTCACCCAGTAACCATTTTCATTATTGTAAAAACATCATCATCATTGGTCTACTCTGGCCTCCAATCGGGAGGTCTGGAGACACACTCTCTATAACGCTGCTGCTTCCTTTGAGAACGCATGTAGGATCACTCTCGAGGAGAAAAGAAGTTAGGCTTTTCACAGTGTCTGTACATGTACTGCTCTTCTCTTCCAAAAAAAACCCAAACCACAAAAAACAGTAAAGCACAACAAGAACATAATTAAGGGAATAAACTCTACCAAGGACAACGATATTTCATTCTTACCCTAGAAATCTACAGGCTCTGTCAGTATTAAAGGGAGGAGACTTGTGGTTTGTCTTCTGATTCAGGCCGTTCCTTAAACTAGGTTTTATCCTTGTTGGGCAATCTCAGCATCTCTATTTTCAACTGCTATCATGCCTTCTGTTCTTTGTATTCTCTCTGACAGTTTTTTCCAATTTTTGGTAATTTTTTGTTACTTTAAATTTACCAAGCCCCCTTCTTGGGCAAATTTGTCTGTGAGTTAGCCCATTGTTCTTTCTCTGTCATTTCTTCTCTAGAGCTTCTCATAGATATTTAACAACCAGCTATTTTAACTTATCTGTGCCTAATATAGCCCAGCAGCAAACACTCTTTGAATAGGTGTTGCTCCCTTCTCCCCAGGAAAAAAGTTATTTAGCAGGCCATTTTTCCACCTGCATGCCACTCCTCAGAGAAGTTACTACACCATCAGATCTTTTGTGGAAGCTATGCTGCTCCCTGTTTCAGTTAAATAAATCAAAGTAGAAAAGACCTATTGATTAATCAAACTCTTTTCTTTTTTAATTAAATTGGTTAGTAACGGCACTCATACAAGCAACGCTACCAGCACAGGTGAAGGAGCCCCAGATGATGCTTCCCCAGCACAACTGGATCCAGAAAAGAACCTCTATCTGACTGAAAATGCACCTGGACTATTAGTGTACTACTACAGTAAAGGCTAATTTCACTTTTTCAATATGCAATTAAATCCAAGAGCTCATTCCCATCTTATAAGAAGCCAAATCTGTAATAGACTCCCCATCTTGGCACTTACATCACCCAAGGCTCGCTCCAAGCATGATGTTAGTTTCATTAAGCCAAGAGCAACTTCTGCAGTTTGTGTATATTGTAAAACATCAAACACTTCAAGAAATACCTGTATGATTGAGGACAGGAAGAATGTTGTGTTAAATATTCAGAAGGAAAAATCAAATTTTAAAAAGCACAGAAAAACCTAAATATTCCTCTGAGATAGTTGCTATACAAATGTATAAAGAAATGTAGAAAGAAAACTGTGCCAAGGAGATAAAAATATAGATGCCTAGAGAGAAATTTCCCTAGAGCACCTCTTGATATGTAGTGCCCTAAATATATAAAAATTATCCACAATAACTTTATAAGGTAAAGCTTGATACTAGGCACAGATTATTAGAAAAACAAAATCCTACGATCTTATGTTAGAACAGGCCCAAAGCACCTCATGTTCTCTAATATAAAATATAATTAATAATGGCCAGTCTTCGCGAACGAAGATTTGGGGAAAGGTCTTTTACCTTTCCAGCCTGCGCAATGGATTTTTTAGGTGAGACACAGCCTGCGCTGAACTGAGCCCACCCTTTAATCCTAAGGTTCATCTGCCGGGGCCAAGCAAGCTTGGACAATGGCAGTGAAGTCCTCAGGACGTAGGTTTGTTTAGAGTGTCCTTCTCATAGATGGATGGCCTCACAGGGCTAACGGACTCCATCTGCCCGGGGGACTGGCTGGATTCGAACCTGGGTTAGCAGAGGTGAGAGTCCTGCACGCTAACCACTAGGCCACCAGGGGTCCCCAAAAAAATATAATTACAAAGTCAGGGAAACTACATGCAACCATGTAACAGAGACAGACAATTAGTTACAAATTCTAAACATTTTGGTTCATGGATATATCTTTTCTGTTCTTACATTAAACTTCGCAAAGGATTCGTGTGCCAAAATACAAATTGTTAACAGAAATTTCTATACCTCTGTGCAGTTTGTCCAGTGCAACCACGATGCATACCGAATTATGAATTGCTCCTTGGTCAGAGATCTGAAGTGCACATTAACAGATTCGCATACAGGTCCTAATGATCGTATGCTTTTGATATAATCCACACTTTGATCTTAAATTGAAAAAGAGAAGGTGATTAGTGTACCAATCTTCCCAAAGGTCTAATATTTTAAAACTCATAAGGAATAAAGCCTGCTAGAGCTTGTGTACATAATAATAATGGCCCATCTTCGCGAACGAAGATTTGGGGATAGGTCTTTTTACTTTTCCAGCCTGCGCAATGGATTTTTTAGGTGAGACACAGCCTGCGCTGAACTGAGCCCACCCTTTAATCCTAAGGTTCATCTGCCGGGGCCAAGCAAGCTTGGACAATGGCAGTGAGGTCCTCAGGACGTAGGTTTTTTGTTTAGAGTGTCCTTCTCATAGATGGATGGCCTCACAGGGCTAACGGGTTCCATCTGCCCGGGAGGGACTGGGAATCGAACCTGGGTCGCAGCAGTGAGAGTCCCGCATGCTAACCACTAGGCCACCAGGGGTCCCATGTGTACATATTTAGCACAGAGAATTTTATCCAGACTTTTCTAGCACAACTAATACACTACAATTTACTGTCTAAAACACAGATGTTGAAAAGTAAAACTGCAGTGCAAAATCAGGTAAGATTGAGCATCTTCTCCAAATAAAACAAACCAAAATGAACCAAACAAAATTAAAAAAATAACCAAAGCCTAAACACAAGAAAATATGGAAGTAAATAGAATCATTAATGTTCTGCTTTTGTTGAAATGGAAAGAATCTACTAGAATTTCTACATAATTCCACATAATCGGGCTGGAAGCTAGTGCAGGCTCAGCAGGATCAGTCCAGTTGCACCACTTACACCCTTTAAAGAACACAGATGGATATGGTACCTTACAGAGTGGTATCACTGCTTCTTTTTGGTGGGACACTTCTTATAGGAAAATAAATTTACTGAGAGATAGTCCTTGAGGTAGAAACATGTACCATTTTTACTACCTCTGGAAATTAATGACAGGGCTTGCATGATGCAATTTGGCAAATTAAAATTCAGTGAGTTCATCAGGGCATAAATGTTTTCTTTGGTTAAAAAACAACTATAAACTATTCTACATACAGAAGAGAAACCAAATGGTACTTCTGTACAAACTACAGTTGGGGAAACAAAACAGAAGCAACAGTAGGAATACTGATGGTCCCTGAGTGTTTTAAGTTCACTGCAAAAGGAATATAAAGAACACAGAAGAAGGCAACTATGAGGTTGGAAAGAAGCAGGACTGAACCCTTATGTTACAGGCACATTAAACTGGGAACCAAGATGAAGGCAAAGTAGCAGCTACAGATTACACGAACCTTAGGAGCCAGCAAAAGCCAAATACCAAATGTGGATGAAAAATTTAAAGCTCTTTGTAGATATTAACTGTACATACTCCAAATCAGTAGCAAAGCTAATGCTGTACTGTAACAAAATGTTGTAACTCAGCTAGAATTGCTATCATATGTACTGAAATTCTGCATCAGTCTTAAATGTATCATCACTACTACAGCAGGTAAACACTAACCTGATTCAAGGTAACACACATGCTCTGTAACAGCTTGCCAACATACTTCACCATTTCCAGATAAAATATTGTTAATATCATACGTGTCTTTTTTCTCAAATCCAAGTTTGCAAATTGCATAATGCACAGGCTGAGAAAGACAAGTAGTGACCGAGTCTGACAATGCCATCTAGAACAAACACACACAAAGAATCCTTGTATCAAGAAAGCACGAGACAAAGAAAATTATTAAAACATACCCATCAGCACAGATAGACAGCAACATGGCATCTGTAAACAATCTGTTAAAGTTTGCAATACAAGTTTCATCATGCATATGATGAAAGGAACTCTCGACAAGAATCACCCTGGAAAAACTGAGGGGAAGAACCGGTCTATTTTCATAGTGCCAGGATGGTATATTTCAGAGTGGCTATATCCACTGAACTGATGACAAGACAGACTGAAGCAAAAGATCTCAGTTTATATATAAATGTTCTGTCTAATCTCTGAGCTTGCAGAGAAACTGATGCTACTTCAAGTACAACCAAGAGCTCCAGTACTTATGACCAGCAAAATCCTTGGAGGGGGGTAGGGGTGGAACATGTTAATTCCGTAGTAATGTTAGCTACAATCTAAGCATTAATGTTCTAAATAGAAAGACAAACTGATTCAGAAGCACATTTTCAATTAAAAAATTTGCAAGAATATAACTCCCCATGCTAAAAATGAAGAAAATGCTTCTGATTTAGTAAAGAAACCCCCCAAAAGTCATGCTTTCTCATTAATGAAACAGACAAGAAATTGTTTGAAAATGAAGTACCACAACAAATAAAAAAATTATTCCATTAAATTAAAAACATTTTTTCCTCTTTAATTAGGTGGCAGAATAGACCCTCATGATATGTAATTTCTGTATTCATGTCTTCAAGGAGAGATGAGATATTTATATGGGTATTGGCATGGAGCAGGGGTAACAGTTCCTATCGGGAACCCGTGTTAGCTGCCACCAGGAGTACCTCTCTTCTATTAAAAAAAAAATAATCTAAAACGTCCATAAAATATCATTCAGACCTTCACCTTGTCTTTCCCTCCCCCCTCCGTTTCACTGTCAGGGACAAGAGGCCAGAGCAAATCCCGCACTAACGCAGCCACCCTTTATTATTATTATTTATCTAAAACAGGCCGGGCATGGGTCAGGGCTGTGATCTTTTGAGGGAGAGGTCACCAAGCCCCACTTTCCACTGGCAGAAGCCGAGCAAGGCTGCCTCCTCCTCTCTCCTCCCGCGCCGCCCTCGGGCCGCAGCATTGCCCCAAGCCCAGAAGGGCCCGTCCGCAGCCCCGAGGGCGGCGGCCACCCCACCCCCGAGCCCCCGATTCCCCGATCCCGCTGCCGGAGCCGCCCCCACCATGGCGCCGGTACCTCCGGTACCTTCGTTACCGCCGGCCCCGCCCGCGCTGCGTCACGCCCGGGCCGCGCGGGAAGGGCCCCGGGGCCGCTCCGCGGCCGGTTCCCGGCACGGCGGGGGAAGCCGCGGATAAGCGCTCCGAGGGGATGAAGCCCGCGGCCCCCACGGAGGGAGGAAAGCGGCGCCAGGGCTTGGCCGATAAAGACACAGTGAGCGGCCGTCAGAGCGAGAGGAAGTGCCGGAGGTTGAGCTGCCTGCCCCCTGGGCAGGGAGTGGTGCGAGGGCAGCGGGCACGATGCGATGCCCGACTGAGGCGGGGGCGCCGGTTCGGGCCTGCAGCGCTTCAGTTGGGAGGGAAGGATGGAGCTTGGTGTCCTTCGGAAGGGCGGTACAGTGCGTGGGAGAACGTGGGGCTCGGTGTGAGGTTAAAAGTTGTCTGTGATCTTGTGACAATTTGTAGGATGACTGTTCCCGCTTGATTGGCGTCTGGCTTGGGATAGCTCGTCGCCTTTCTGCTTGGCCAGGTGTCATGTTCGCACCTGCCTTGCAGCTGGCGTCCTGGCTGAGGCACTGGGAGGCCCAGCTGTTTCGAAGGTAAAGGGAAGGAACGGATGGTCCTCCCTTTGGTGTTGCAGTCTTTCCAACTTGAGGGCACAACTTCTACCTTAGAGCAGCACCTCTTTTGAAGAAATAAACAAGAACTGTTTCTTGTTTCTTTTAGCAGCTTTTTTTTTTTTTAAACAGGCTTATTAACAAACAACATTTCTTTCAAATAGCAAAAGCTTTTTTCTCTTAGCATACTTATTTCCACATGTCCAAGGTTAAGCCAATGTAGTAGTAGGCCAGTAACATAAGAACAGGCTTTTGTTGGTCAAGTAATCAAAAGTAAAGTCAGTTATTGAATTTTAGAGACATTTTTTCACGGAGGTGCAAATATTATATAGAAATGTAATTGCAACATTGTGCTAAAACTTGGAATCACAGTGTTTGTACTGTGGTATACAGAAGTAGGTTTATTGACTAGGTGTTTGTTTAGAGAAGTCAATAAGGTTTTTGGTTGCCTCATTAGTAAATGGCTTTTTGCAAACGATTATGAAAACTTCTGTCACTAATAATAGCAGGTAAACTTTTAAGTAGGAGCATTATTAGAAGTCATGTGCTATAGACATGAATTTTCTTCCATCTGTAATCGAAGTGGCTGAAAATCTTGTGACTCAAGCTGAACTATGTTAGCAAAGAATTGCTGTTTGGGTTGTGACCTTTTTCACAGGTTCTTTTCTACTCACACGAATCGGAGTGTTCATTTGAGCAGCTCAGCTGGAAGACTTTGGTGTTTTTCTTCTGTTAGGAGACCTATGACAAGCACGTCAGGGTGGTAGTCATTCGAGACCTGAGTTTGCAGTTAGAATATAGTAAGTGTCCACAGCATAAGTGCAAATGTGTTTGCTCCATACATTTTTAGAGTAAGTGCTGTTCAGAGTTTGCAGTGTTGGTGTGGTATCAACAAACACCTGCAGGCAATTAGGACTAAGGCTGCAAAAATCACTGGGTTTAAGGAACTAGAGGACACTACATGTAAGTAGTGTCCACAGCGTTGACAAGGCTAACGTGTAAGTGATTTCTGCATTTCTTCCCTTGTTCTTAAACTCCTTGGACTGAAAGATTTGTGAGCCCCTGAGTAGCACATCTCTTCAAATAATTCTCATTACACTTTCATATTATCTACAAGTGTATGATTTTTTTCCCCATATTCTTCGTGTAAGCCTTGTTTCATGATGTTAATTCACCTTTGAGCTGTTTTCTGCCCTTCTGGGAAGGAACTGATGATTTACTCTTGTCTAAGTTGTAGCTGTAGTCAAGAAATGGAGCAAGAGACTGAAGAGTTAGCAAAATGTGAAAGTGGTTCATTAGGAGGTAGCTGGTATGGAAGACCGTTGCCTATAGCATTTGTTATGGTCTCTTTGGTTCCTTGTGCTTTTCTGTCTCTGTCTTATTATCATTTTACAGTTTTGTTTTAAGCCAGCCCTGGAGGACAGCAGTTGACATCTTTTATCTGCAACATCAGAGTTGCTGCTTGCATTCATAGAGGGACAAATTTTATGTGTGTTGAAGAGATAATACACAACTGGATGGGGAGAAAACTGGATCTTCAGAAATCTGCATTTAAGTTCCAAGCAAAATTACAATAATTTGCAGACTGGAGCTTATTTTTTCCTTTTTTTTTTTTCCCCTGGCTTTTTTTTTTTTTAAGAGCAAATTATGTCATCAATACATAAGCCATTGGTTTAGTAATTTCACAAGGAATGAGGATAAATAAAATGAAGTAGTGAACGAACCAAGTACATATTTTGGGTGTTGTGTAGGCTGTTTGAATTAAAAGCTTGAACTTGTGGTTAACAGTCTTGGATGGACCTGTTAATAGCTATGTATTCTTACTTGGAAAATGGAGTGGATTCAGGGTACTAATATGGTGTGTCTGATTGACTGAGTTTAAATGCAAACTTCAGTTGCATTTTGCTGGAAAAGAAGTCAAAAGGGAGCGGAAGTCAACCACTTCTTTTTTTTTGGTCAAAGCAGTAGTAGTGTTAAAACAGCCAGAAGATGATAACCAGTTTCTAGCTTTCTGTGGGTTTTTTGTTAACATATTCCTAGACTAATTGTTGGGGTTTTTTCCCCTCTTAACTGTACACCATAAAGTATTATTTAAAGACTGTTAAATTTGAAAATATTGACATGTGATGTGGACTTTCTGATTATTTTACTCAGATGAAAGGAAAAAAGACACGATCCTATTCTGAAGATTTAAGTGTGGCTCCAGTGGAAGAACAGGCAAAGACAAAATCCGCTAACACATACAGACTGGAGTCACGTAATAAATTTCGGGATTGTTTAGTAAGAGACAAAGCTCAACAAATACTAACGGTACAGCATTTTTTAAATTAATTGTCTGATTTTATTGCAAAAGTAGCTTGTCTTGCAAAGGTACTTATGGAACAAGGTAAATTGCATGAACTTAAACATATGCATAAATCTCTGCAGTCTTTGAGTTTTGCCACAGAAATACATTTGTGAATGTGCTCTGTTTTGGTGAAGTGCAGAAGGGCCTCTGCAAGGTCACTGCTGAGCTTGTTAGGTGGTGTTTACGTGGAGCTGAATCTTCTTAAACTCTTGCCTTTTTTGAAATCAAATTGAGCTACAGCCCAGTTCAAAGTACCCTGATCTGCAAAATATCCAGTTAGCCAAAGATCGTGACCTCAAGTTTGTGGAATTCTATTGGTTCTGCTAATATCACATGACCTGCATAAAATATATGTGGTGTTCTTAATGGTCAGATTGCTACATACAAAAGTTAAGCAAAAATGAAAGAAAACAATCTGTGGAGATAATACGTAGCTGTTAGTGATACTTTGAAGAGTTATAACCAGCTCTTTTTAATTTTGCTGTGTGGAAGACATGCCTTGGATATTTGGAACTGGTATTTGTAGCACTCTTTTCCTGTGAACTGAGCCCAAATGATAGAGAAGAATACACTCCTCTTTGTTAAATTGAGATTGGCTGGACAATTGGCTGGACACACATCAAATGTGTGTCCCTTTCAAAAGAAGAGATAAAACATTTTAGCGTAAAAGTAGCGCATCCTTTGCTGTTTGGGAGTATCATCTATATTGACTATTCTACTCATTAGTTCTTCTCATGTTCTTGTAATGAAAATGACTGTAAAAGGTTTTTTTGCAAAAGGCTACCAGGATGAAAACTAAGATCTTTCAAAATTGTTTTTGATAGAGTAAACTTCAACAAGCCAACTACGATGGAGTTTCTAGTCCCTTCTTGTGTGCTTCAATCTCAGAAGAAATATTAAAGGCTGTGAAGGAATTTGGCTTTGACCGTTATAAATATGTGGTATCAGTGCTAATTGTGGAAAAGACAGATCAGGCAATGATTGTAAGTGAACATTATTCATAATACATTTTGCAAATTGAAAACAATAAGGTGCAAACAGATTAGTGAAGTGGTCCAAGTCAACTTTTTTCTCCCAAGGAATATGTTTATTCCAGCCATCAGTTCACAGAGTTTAGCTTTGAAAACAATTTTGTCAAAAAAGCTGAGAGCCCAGTAAATGGTCACAAGACTAGACTAAGCTGGAGGTGGAGGAGTGGGGGATGTGACTTCTTAGTTCTATATGTTCCCAAAACTAATGTCTATTCACATAGACATGTTCTACTGCTTTTTAAGGGGTGCTGTTAACAGTATGCTAAAGTGCAACAAGTGAACACGAGAGAGAATTGGGGGTTGGTGTAGAGATTTTTGGATCTATTGGTGGGAGCTTTACTGTGAAGCAAGAACATGTATTTAACATCGAATAGGAATTGTTAATTTTCACTCAACTTTTGCATTGTTCTTACTAGTTGTAACTCTCATAATACGATTAGATTAGCATTTAGATAATGCTGTATGTTCTTTAAAAAATAAATAGTAAACCTGTGCTGTATATATATTCACAAATAGTTTTTTCTCTTTTTTCCCTTTAGGTTGCCAGCAGATGCCTCTGGGATGTTCAAAGAGACAATTGGGTTTCAGCTAAATGTGAAACTGAAACATTCATTGCGCTGGCTTTGGTAATGGCTTGTTATTACGACTAATACTTTGAAAGCCACAGATGGATTCGTGCATCACAGTACATGGTACATTTAAAAATTTTCAGAGAATCATTATTTTAGTATTCATTTTTATCCTATTGCTGTTGGCACATTGAAACTGACATACAGTTGAGATAATTTTCTTCTTTTTTTCTCTGTAAAGAAAAAAACCAACCCCCCCAAAAAAAACTTTGGAACATATGTACATGACTACATATGGGTTTCGTCTGTTTAATGCTCTGCTGTGGAAGTGAAAGCAGCTGGTGTTAAGGCCAAACATTGGAAAATTTTGAATGCTGCTTGTCTGTTGTGTACCTAGGACTGTTAACGAATGTTTATATGAAATTGCAGGTATCAGTTTTCTTAAAGCATGTTTTTTGTAAAAAAAGGCAGTATTCATTTTTTACCTAGTTTTATCTATGATCAAATGCCAGTCTGCCTGGAAACTTTTGCAGTCCTAGAAAGTTGTGCAAATTTCCAGTCTTGCCTTGAATGAAGTGAAAGTTTAGTCAGTAGGTTGCCCAGGCCTTAAGCTTGGGTCTCGGGTTCAGGTTGGTGGACAGGTACTGCATTGAACGTGTTGGTCACTTCAGTCTAGGGGCTTCTGGTGGCACTGACGATGGGCTCAGTAACGAGGGTAACTGGTCCATAATAACTGGCAAGGGCAGCAGTGATTGTATTTTGATAAATAAGGCACAGTCAAATTTGTGAAGTGTGTAGACATCAGTTTTTGGACCTGCCGTGTGTGGAAATCGAGGGTTGGTGCCTCTTCCATGTCAGTTTTATCGCTGGGAGCTGAGAACAAACGCGGACGGGGCGGCCGTGCTTCTCACCTCCCGCTTGGCCCAGCTTCGGTCCGAGTGCGTTTGGAGCCGCGCACGGGCGCGCCGCGAGGGGCGGTGAGCGTCCCGGGGGGCGGGTGGGCGCCCGCCCGCGGTGCGGGGGAGCCGGTGTGCGGGGGCGGCGCCGGGCC